AAGAAGAAGAGAAGGAGGAGGAGAAGGAGGAGGAGAAGGAGGAGGAGGAGGAGGAGGAGGAGGAGGGGAGGAGGAGAGAAAGAAGATGAAGAAGGAAAAGAAGACGAGGAAGAAGAAGAGAAGAAGAAGAAGAAGAAGAAGAAGAAGAAGAAGAAGAAGAAGAAGAAGAAGAAGAAGAAGAAGAAGAGGAGGAGGAGGAGGGAAGGGGGTCTCTTTCCTCACATCTTGGATGAAGGCAGAACAAGAAGCAACGGATGGAAACTAACCAAAGAGAGAAGCAACCTAGAACTAAGGAGAAACTTCCTGACAGTGAGAACAATTCACCGGTGAAACAACCTGCCTCCAGAACTTGTGGATTATCCAGTACTGGAAGGTTTTAAGAAGAGATTGGACAGCCATTTGTTCAGAACTGTAGAGGGTGCGTTGTCTGAGCAGGGGGTTGGACTAGAAGACCTCCAAGGTCCCTTCCAACTCTGTTATTCTGTTATTCTTCTAGTGAATTTTGTTTCTTCTATGTCTCAACTCAGGGTAGGTCTATTACTTTAGATGACGATTGTGATTTCCCAGAGTATTAAAAAAAAAAAAAACTCTTTGAAAATGGCGTCTAGCATCATGTCCTCTCTGCAAAAACAAGTAAAGAAACTTAATTAGGACCTAGATTTATTCTAAGGGCTGTCCTGCAACAGTTTATTTTCTTTCCTGTAAACAGAGAACTTGGTATAGGTTCATCCAGTCCCTTGGATCAACGCAGAGCGAAAGGCAAACGATGGGAATGGATGCCAAATATTTCAAGGAAAATCTCGGAACGTGCTTGGCTGAAGGGCTTGCGGAAGTGGCCAACCGCCGGCCAGTAGACCCCATCCATTTCTTGGCCTCCTGGATTTACAACTATAACGAAAATAGAAAGAGAGAAGAAAAGGTGATACATTTCCTAAAACAAACAAAAAAAAAAGTTGAAGAAATCTTGTCTCAGCCACGACTGAATTCAATTTTCTTTCCTCCCAATTTTCCTGTCCTTTCTCTCTTTGGTCCCCCTATCCCTTCTATCCTTTCTAGAGAAAGAAAGCAAAGGACCACCTAGAACTTCAGTATGAAGAACGTCTCGCAGAACTGGGGTCTGCGGAAAAACTGAGAGCAGAAGAACCTCCAACGGCCCCAAAATTTGAAGAGCAGACGAAGGTCTGGGTCTCTTTCATTTTACACTAAACTATTTCCTTCAAGAACCATATTTGGCTTGTTGGTGTAATGAGAAAAATTGTTGGAGCAGTTGTTAAAAAAAAATGCATATTTTTAAAAAAAGGGTCCGTTGGGGGTGGATGCGGTTTGGGGGGAAATGGGTGGGCAATACCAAAAGCGGTGTGTATCAATTTGTTTTATTTTTTATCTGAAGTATTTTTAAGATTGTAGCGTATTGTAAAATTGAAAATAAAAACTTTTTTTTAAAAAAAAATAACCATATTTGGCTTGTTGGTGTAATGAGAAAAATTGTTGGAGCAATTGTTAAAAAAAAATGCATATTTAAAAAAAAGGGTCCGTTCCTAGACTGTGGATGGAGGGATGGATTTATGCCAAGTGGATGGATGCTAGATGGTTAAAAGTTGGTGGCTGAAGGGAACTGAATGCAGTTTGATTCTATGAAGGATCTTTTCCAGGAGCAAACAGAAGATACTCCTGAAAAATTAACGGAAATAGATGGAACATCACACCAACCTTTGAGACAAGAGCTGGCTGAAAAGAAGGCAGAGGAAGTGAGTACCTCTTTTAACAAATGCACTTGACATGTTATTATTACTTCTTCTTTTTTTTAGAGTTTTATTGGTTTATAATATAGGAATCGAAATACAAAGTAAATAGCGGGAAAGATGGGGAAGGGAAAAGGGAGTAGAGAAGTGAGATAAGGGAGAAAAAAAAGGGGGGAAAAAGCATTGGCTTCCAACATCCTTTGGCGCAACAGAGTATCCCCTTCAAACCTCAACTTTTAACTTTCACAAAATAATACAAACTAGCCATTTCAGTAACATCAAATCTATCTAATTGGTAAAGCCCACAATCAAAATTTCATTTTTTTCCCACCTCAAGCACAAAATCTAGAAACGGTTTCCATGTAGCAATAAATGTTGCATTTTTTTCTTTAATCAGTACAGTCAGTTTAGCCATCTCTGCTAGCTCCATCAGATTTTGTAATCATTCCTCTGTTGTAGGAATTGATGTAATCTTCCTTTTCTGAGCGTAATCTTGCTGCTTTCAACATTGTTGTTGTTAGTTGCGAAGTCATGTCCGACCCATCGCGACCCCATGGACAACATTCCTCCAGGTCTTCCTGTCCTCTACCATCTTCTGGAGTCCATTTAAGCTCACGCCTCCTGCTTCAGTGACTCCATCCAGCCACCTCATTCGCTGTCGTCCCCTTCTTCTCTTGCCCTCCATCTTTCCCAGCATTAGGCTCTTCTCCAGTGAGTCCTTCCTTCTCATTAGGTGGCCAAAGTACTTGAGTTTCAACTTCAGGATCTGGCCTTCTAAAGAGCAGTCGGGTTGATCTCCTCTAGGACTGACCGGTTTGATCGCCTTGCAGTCCAGGAGACTCGCAGGAGTCTTCTCCAGCACCAGAGTTCAAAGGCCTCCATTCTTTGGCGCTCAGCCTTTCTTATGGTCCAACTTTCACAGCCATACATCGCAACTGGGAAAACCATGGCCTGGACTATACGCACTTTTGTTGGCAGGGTGATGTCTCTGCTTTGCTTTCAACATATATAGTATCAAAGCTCCATTTTTTTTCCAGGTCTTTGTCTATTACTGCAAGAGAAAAGTCTCTGCTTTTCTTTCTATATTTAGTTTAAGGACTTTCTGTATTAACATATGAATCCTTCTCCAATATTTTCTTGCTTTATCACACGTGTTATTATTATTACTTCTAACAACAAAACCAGGCCTTTAAAATTCACTTTGCATTAAAATGATTTTTACTTACTGGAAGTTTCTCAGACCTTTTGTTTTGATGTTCTTTATGGGTTCAGAGTATTGGAAGAGCTTAAGGACAAGAGTTTAAGATAAGACAACACGGAGCATTTCATTCAGGATTGTTGTTGCCTCCTTGCCTTGATAGATAAATAAATCCATTCAGGTCAAAAAATCTGTACAGAATCTGCAAGTTAGTTTTCATGCAAGCTTAGTTTTTGCCCTTATTTTGAAGAATTGGAATCCGTCTTGTTTAAGACTAGGATGCTGGAATATCTAGCAGTCTCTGAGAACATAATGGAGGGCCATTATAGAAAATATTTCTTGTTCCCAGGTAGGAAAAAAGCATGAGAAAAAGACTAAGAATAATCCTGCCAGTTACACTGCGTATAAATTGAGCTGGACAACTTGGAGGCTTTCAAGATTGTTGTGAAGCCCTTCAAGACTGTCAGACTTAGGAAACAAGAACCACTTGGGTTTCTAGAATGATCCTTTTTGCTAGTAGAGTAATGTAGCAGAATCTTGAAAAACTAGACTAATAAAGATTGGGTTGAGAAGAGGGATATTAACATGTAGATAAAACTAATTTTCAACCATAGATGACGACCGAAGAAAAGGTTGGACACATCCCAGAAGAATATGAAACTAGGTCAACACAAGAGGTGTTAGAAAACAGAGTGGATCAAGATGACTTAAATGTTGTGATAAATGAGTTGGATGAGCAACCAGGCCAGGTAAGTCCTAGTTTAACCCTTCAGGAAGCCTCACTAGAAATTGCTGCAGATGAAGATTTAAGTCCCAACGTCTTGGATGACAAAGATGAAGACCAGTTGGAACAAGACAGAGCAGCTGAGAAGGAGAATGATGATGTACAAACTGAAGGTGACAAAGGCAAAGACCAGTTGGAACAAGGCAGAGCAGCTGAGGAGAATGATGTACAAGCTGAAGGTGACAAAGGTGAAGACCAGTTGGAACAAGGCAGAGCAGCTGAGTTGGAGAATGATGTACAAGCTGAAGGTGACAAAGGCGAAGACCAGTTGGAACAAGACAGAGCAGTTGAGAAGGAGAATGATGTACAAGCTGAAGGTGACACTCAAGCTGAGATAGACAGATCTATTCAGGATGGGAATTCAGAGTAATTCCACAATTCATGTATACTTGGAAGGAAATCCTGTTGCTTTCAAAAGGCTTTGTGTGAAGGCTTTGTTTCACAAAGAAGGTAATCTAAAAAGGATGGGTTTTGAGGGTGTGATAGTGACAGTTTTCCAGCATAGTTGCACTAGGATGTTATATGGAGAAGATTGATCATTAGATGGTAACCAGTCTTGGGAAAGTATGTGTACGACACGCCTCTTCAAAACTTGGTGTGTTCTTGTAGCTTTTGTTTTTATGCTTTTATCTGTTGGAAGAAATGGTATCTATCTACAACTGGAAATCCTGTTATACAATTGATTGCAAGTTCATGCAAGACATTTTGTTATATGTGTAGAACCACCCTCAATGTTATAGATGTGTGACACTGATTTGGAGACACATTATATCAACTTGTGGCTCTGTATATGAGACATGTATATTCTATACACGGGTCGCATTCTGATGTATAGGTGCACATAGTGTCTCCAAAACATTATCAACATCTATCGATATGTGTATGTGTGTGTAAAATAAGACAGGATACAAACCTAAGACCCTCACTCACACAATGAGTTTTTTTTTCTGTGATTAGGTGGCTGTGTTTGAACACAGTCCATTTCATTATGGTTCGGTGCAAACCCAGAAAGTGAGTTAATTCCTAAACCAGATTAAGGGTGAATGTAGTGACATGCTTTCTAAAAAAAAAATGTTGCCAGGTAAAGCATTCAGTAGCAGACTTATTCAATCTTCCAAACAAATTGTCATTAAAAGTAGTAGCCTTCTACCTTGATTCTCTGAAAGAATATTGCAGATAAATACTTCTTGTGAATGGTACATTTTGGAGGTCAAAAGACTATTCTTAAACGTACTGAAATTCCTTTTTTTTTTCCTTTTTTCATCTGATGCTGTTGCATTTAGAAATAAGACATAATGAACTTTTGATTATTCTTATGTATGAGCAGTGTTGGAAAAGTAGCTGTTTCCCCTCTGTTACATCACTGTGATTATGATTATGTGTATAAAGGTAGTCCTTGACCTACAATCATTGCTTTAGTGACCATTCAAAGTTATAACAGCGTTGAAAAAATGACCTTTAACCGGTCTTGCACTAACAACTGTTGCAGCATTCCCACAATTCCATGATCAAAATTTGGCCAAGCAACTGGCATGTATTGATGGTGGCTGTAGTGTTTCAGGGTCATGTGACTTTTCCAACTGGTTTCCAACTTACTTAAGTGCAGTGATTTGCTTAACAGATGTAGCAAAGCAAGTCATAAAATCCGGTGCAACTCATTGATAGCCGCCTTGCTTAGCAATGGAAATTCTAGTCCTGATTGTGTTCGTAAGTCAAAGTGTTTTTGTTCAACATTTCTTTTAGCAATAAGAAGGGTATGGATAATCCATTTCCATTGTTCAGCTGCCAATTTTCATATCAACAGACATCTCAAAATATTAAGACCATTGTCAAACTCAAATTAATGTCTTCTTCCAATAATAAGTTTTAGCATATTCCAAAAACATACGCTTGACCAAAGCCATACTCTTATTCTCGTTGAGAATATCAGCAGTAACTTTTGTCTATTTTTTGTACAAATGCAGTAGAGTCCAATAAATTCAATATTGCTTTTTGTTGAATAAAATGTAGTCTAAGGTTTATCAAAGGTTTCCGGATAGAATTTCCCATTCCTTAGATAAAGTGGAAATTTCCAATTGCTTTTTCTATTCAGTCTTTAAAATGTATGTATAAAATTAACATATCAGCAGGTATTTGTTAAAGCCTCTTTGTGAGATTTTTATTTTCATTAAAACTTGGTAATCACTTGTAATAATTTAGATGTCCCTGAAGCTGTAAGTGCCATTTATCCATATCAAGATGCTCAATAAATGTTCTTCAAATGTAAAAACCATAAAAGTATGTCCGCAAGACTGGTGACTTATATAGACTACATATGGAGTTAGAAAGGAATATGCTTATCCTTTAGTGAATTTTTTATATAAATCTCTATATGCATGTAAGCACGCATGCATGGTAGCTTCGGGTGTATACACCAGTTTATTTAAACAAAAATAATATGTCCCGAATAAAAATATCTTTTGAAGAGTCAAAATATGTGATTCTTTTCTTTCTCTTCTGCTAAATCTTTTAAAATATGACTATGAATGGCATCGTTAAGAAATAGATTAATAATTATACTCTTTGAAGTCATTATTAAATATTGTATGACTTGATCTCAGATACAATACATGAAGGTTTCCACAGATGATGGTTGTGCTGTAACAAATTGTGTAGTTGTGTAATCAAGCACGTTTGTAATTCATATTCATAACTGGCACAGGTCTGTACATTAAGCCTTTAATGACAGTTTTGCAAAGGTTAGGTTGCAAATTCACAAGATGGTCATTTCTGGTTTGTATAGCACAGTGCAGCAATAGTTTTATTAGACTGTTTCCATGATTATAAAATGAGACATAATTGTTGGAGGTGAAGCATAAACCACAAATCGTCTTATAAGGGAGATAGATGGCATAAAAATTTAATAAATAAAAATAATGATCAATTTGCACTCTCCAGTTTTAACATTACGTGTTATTGCTTAGAATTGTCTCTAGTCTTGGGAAAAAAATTGTTTGGAAATCAAAAAAAGCCTAAAGAAACTGGATAACTGTATACAAAAGCTGAAGATAATATATTAGTATCAATAAAAGCCAACTTTAGTAGCGTTGGTATTACTTTAGAACAGTGGTTCTCAACCTTTCTAATGCCGCGACCCCATAATACAGTTCCTGTCAGAATCCAATTATATTTCATCTTTAATTATCAAACATAGAAACTCCCAATTCTACCTTCTCTGGATTCTGCCATAAGAGGGAGAAAAGGGGGAGAGCAAAGGGGCTTTATGGCCCTCACTTCCTTCAGCACACTTCAAAGGACTGAATGTGTGTTTATTGTGGCCTCTAAGCTTTAACATATCAAAGAAGAGTAATTGCCTTTCATGTAGTTATCTGAAGTCTCCATCCAGACGGAAGAAGAAAGGGGATGGAATTGTGATACTTGAAACTATCACTGGAAGGGGGGTTGATTGGGTGGGACTACTGGGGAACCCCTTAAAACCTTGAATGGGAGAGCTTGGACCCCAAGTCCTGTCTAGCATGCCTGCAACCATTTTCTCTTAATAAAGGATTCCTGTTGGAAGAATTATTCCAAGAGTTCTGTCTTCTTAAGATGCAAAGTGGGGTGGGTCCTTACATTAGACAGGACTTGCAAAATTAATCCACCTGGAAGGTAGACCCTTGCCGGGGGATTTTGCAAAAATTTACCATGTCAGACAACGAAGCAAGAGAGGGAGAAAACTCCCTGGAAAGAGAGCCGCTGACCCAGTTGGAACCTTGCCAGATGTTGGGATCCGAGAGGCCAGATTTCTCAGAAGAAGAAGTGGTGGAGACACAGGACCACAAGCCTCACTGGTCGATGGGCGTTGGAAAGAAAAGCGAGTGGGGAAAGGAATCAAGAAAAGTGACCCTGAGACGGGGGACCAAGCAACCAGAATGGAAGCAGGAGATGGAGAAATCCCTGCACGCAAGTGAAGAGGGAGGAAGCTGTATGCCGTACTCAGACTGGATCCTAGAGAGAGCTATTGACCTGATGAAGAGAACTCTCAGCTCCCTAGGAAAGGAGATTCCTGAGCCCTACGCCCGCCCCAGTTCCTGGAGCCACAAAGGGAGAGACACCGAGGGGGACGTGGAACCTGCAACCCCAGGGACATTTACTGATCCAGGAGCTCCCACCCCCTACCGGACCACAGATGGAAATCTGGACGGAAGACACTACCACCCACAATGGAGGCACCGATCCATTCCAAGACGTCCACCGTTGGAGGTGAAATTCAAAGGGGAGCCAACACGCGTGGGGTTTTTCCTAACCCAAGTCCTCAGCTACATGGAGGAATATGGGCAGGACATCCCCAGCGACAAAGCCCGCATCCGGATCGTGCAATCTGCCCTGGATGGACCAGCTGCAGATTGGGTGGTGAACCTGCATGACTCCAATGCCCCAGAACTCAGTAACTTCAACCGTTTCATGTCCTCGTTGAGAAGACGATTTGAAGACCCCCTGGCTGATCGCAAAGCCCGTGAAAGAATAACAACGATGAGGCAGGGCAAACGCCCAGTGGCTGAGTATACACAAGAATTCCGAGCCATTGCCAGCAAACTGAATTGGCCAGAAGACATCCTCCTTGGCCGTTTCAAAGACGGACTAAACTATGATCTATATGATGCTTGCCTGCCCCGAGGAGACCCACATCGACTTGAGGAATGGTACGTCTTGGCAGAGGAAGCAGAGATCGACATATTGAAGAGGCATCGCCGAGGAAAACAATGGAGCCGCCCCCCGCCTGAGCTGACACACCAACCGGTGAAATCATCGGATACAGCCAAGAAGCAGATGGGGTGTTTCAAGTGCGGAAGAGAAGGGCATCGAGCTGTAGAATGCCGCTCAAAGGCCCCCCAGCACAACCCAGACAGATCCCCAATCAACAAACCCAGAGGGTATTCAGCTAAGCCAAAAGAAACAGCCATGAAAATGATGGAAATTGCAGAAAACCCCACCTCTGCTCACCAAGGGGAAAGAACTCCAGCCTACACCACAGGGACGGTGGATGCCTCAGATGACAGCTCGGAAGGCGAACCCCTGGTAAGTGGACGCATCACACCCATCTTCAAAACAGTGACTATATTAATCCCCCCCATGCCCGAAGCTGTGAAGGTGAAAGCCTTAATAGACTCTGGCTGCACCCGCTGCCTCATTAGCCCAACACTAGTGGGGAATCTGGGCATCCCATCCAGGAGACTGGAACAACCAATCTCATTTGGCCAGCTAGATGGATCCATAGCAGGGGGGGTGCCAGCTACCCTAGCCACTCTGCCAATACACCTCTCCCTGGGCAACCATGAAGAGGACTTAACGTTTGTGGTGACCCCAGGTATGGAATGCCCAATGATTCTAGGGATGGAATGGTTGAAAAAATGGAACCCCTGGGTAAATTGGAGGACGACAGAAATCAAATTCCCGAAGGGGGACCCTATGGACTTAAAACCCCAAGAGAGGCTACCAGAATCAAGAATAGAAAAAGCATCCATAGGAGAGGAAAAAAGATTAACAGAAATACCAGAGGAATATAGGGACCTTGCTGAAGTCTTCAGTGAGGAGAGGGCGAATGAGCTTCCCCCCCACCGACCCACAGACTGTACCATTGAATTCAAGCCTGGGGCAAAACTCCCGAAACCCAGATTATACTCCATGAGCCCAAAGGAGAAGGAGGAAATGGAAAGATTTATAAAAAAAAACCTGGAGAGAGGTTTCATTGAACCAGCTAAGCCTAAAGTGGCTGCCCCGGTCCTTTTTAGAGAGAAGAAGGATGGCTCTTTACGTTTATGCGTGGATTATAGGGCCCTGAACACAATCAGTGAAAGCAACCTATACCCGCTGCCCCTCATGAAAGACATGCTGTCACACCTATCGAAAGGGAAAAATTTTTCTAAACTAGACTTAAGGGAAGCTTACTATCGCGTGAGAATCAAGGAAGGGGACGAATGGAAGACTGCATTTAACTGCCCCATGGGGTGCTATCAATTCAAAGTCTTGCCATTTGGATTACAAGGGGGCCCTGCAGTCTTTATGCAATTAATCAATGACGTTCTAAGGGAGCACCTGTTTAAGGGGGTCCTTGTTTACTTGGACGACATTCTTATCTTTACCGAAACAAAAGAAGAACACGTCAAACTTGTCAGAGCGGTTTTAAAGAAGCTGCGAGCCGCTCACCTATATGCCAAACTCTCAAAATGCGAATTCCACCAGGAAAGGATAGACTACCTAGGCTATCGCATATCCCCACAGGGCATTGAAATGGACCCAGAGAAGGTCAGAGCAGTATTAGAATGGGCACCACCCCGCACAAGAAAGCAACTACAAAGTTTCCTGGGCTTTGCAAATTTTTACCGCCAATTCATCCCCTCATTTGCACAGATAGCCTTGCCCCTCACCAACTTACTAAAAACGAAGGGAACATCCTCAGTAAAACCTAGCCAGCCACTAACATGGACAATGGAGTGCCAAGCAGCGTTTGAGAGACTAAAGAGACTTTTTTCTGCCGAACCAGTACTAAGGCACCCAGATATGGACAAGCCCTTCATAATACAGGCAGATGCAAGTGATGTGGCAGTGGGGGCTGTGCTATTACAAGAAAATGATGATGCAGTATTGCAACCCTGTGCATATACATCTAAGAAACTCACGGAAACAGAACAGCGCTGGCCCGTATGGGAGAAGGAGGCTTATGGGATACGTTGGGCATTACTCACGTGGCGACAGTTCCTGGAAGGCAACAAAATCCCCTTCCAGGTATGGACTGATCACAAAAATTTAGAAGCCCTGAAAACTTCCAGGAAACTCAATCCCAAACAAGCCCGCTGGTCCCAGCATTTTCACCAATTCCAATTTAAGCTCAAACATTTACCAGGAAGAAAGAACTTCCTGGCAGATGCACTATCTCGCATGCCCCAATATAACAGCGCACGAACCACAGACTCTAGACCAATAATGGCAGAATCACAACTGGCAGCGCCAGTAACCACAAGAACCCAAGCCAAAATAAAACCACAACTGGACAGCCAAACTGGGATTGAATTCAGAAAAAGTTTGGAAACAGATGATTGGTTCCAGAAAAACAAACATGTGTGCACAATGAGAGACGGATTGCCTTGGGTAGGGGAAAAGTTATATATACCAACAACTCAAAGACTAACTTTCATGCAACTTTGCCATGACACAAAATCAGCAGGGCATTTTGGATTTGTAAAAACTTTACACTTAATTAAACGGCAATTTTGGTGGCCATCAATAAAAAAGGACATAGAAAGTTATGTTGCCAGCTGCCCAACCTGTGCATCAGCAAAGAGGTTGCAAGGGAAATCGCCAGGGCTGTTACAACCAGTGGCAAGTCCCTCAGCCCCCTGGAGGGAAATAGCCATGGATTTTATAGTGGAATTGCCTGAAAGCAATGGGAATACTGTTATCTGGACAGTCACGGACCTATTTTCCAAACAGGTGCACTTTATCCCTTGCCAAAAAATTCCCACTGCAAAGGCCTTAGCAAAACTTTTTATCCAGCACATTTACAGATTGCACGGGGCACCCCAACGCATCATCTCTGATAGGGGAGTGCAATTTACGTCTACATTTTGGAAGGAATTTTTATCCCTCTTAGGGACCACTCAGGGACTGACATCTAGCCATCACCCTCAGACAGATGGACAAGCGGAACGCTGCCAGTCGGTACTTGAGCAATATTTGAGATGTTTTTTAAATTTCCAACAGAGTGATTGGACGGACTTACTTCCTTTTGCAGAAGTTGCCTACAATAATGCAGTCCACTCCAGCACAGGCTACACTCCTTTTCAAATAGCCAACGGCCAAAGTTTCAACCCTATGCCAGAGTTAACCCCAAAAGAACCAACGATCCCTTCACTGAAAGAATGGATGGAAAACCTACAAAACACCTGGCCAATAGTCAGAAAATCACTAGATGAAGCTAGGCGGGCATACAAAGCACAAGCCGATAAAAAAAGGGTTGAGCCTACACCATTCATTATAGGAGAAATGGTGTACTTATCTACAAAATACCTAAAGTCCCTACAGCCCTGTAAAAAACTTGGACCAAAATATATAGGACCTTTTCCAATTAAAAGGATCATAAATCCAGTAACAGTAGAATTAGAATTACCCAAAAACCTCAGGCAAATACACCCAATTTTTCATTGCAGCTTGCTGAAAAGAGAGCATCAGTCACCTCTACGGCCAAAAATCCCCCCCCCACCACCTCCAATCATGGTGGAGGGGGAACAACACTTCGAAATAAAAGAGATCCTTGACTCTAGGAGATATCGTGGAACAACTCAGTACCTAGTTGCCTGGAAACACCTCCCTGCCTCACAAAATGAGTGGGTCCATAAACGTCACGTCAGAGCCCCGAAGCTATTGAAGAAGTTTCACACAGAGTATCCTAACAAGCCTAACTAAATTTTTTACTTGTGTTTTCTTTCAGGTGGATCTCTCTTATTGTTAAGAGGGGCCGGATGTCAGAATCCAATTATATTTCATCTTTAATTATCAAACATAGAAACTCCCAATTCTGCCTTCTCTGGATTCTGCCATAAGAGGGAGAAAAGGGGGAGAGCAAAGGGGCTTTATGGCCCTCACTTCCTTCAGCACACTTCAAAGGACTGAATGTGTGTTTATTGTGGCCTCTAAGCTTTAACATATCAAAGAAGAGTAATTGCCTTTCATGTAGTTATCTGAAGTCTCCATCCAGACGGAAGAAGAAAGGGGATGGAATTGTGATACTTGAAACTATCACTGGAAGGGGGGTTGATTGGGTGGGACTACTGGGGAACCCCTTAAAACCTTGAATGGGAGAGCTTGAACCCCAAGTCCTGTCTAGCATGCCTGCAACCATTTTCTCTTAATAAAGGATTCCTGTTGGAAGAGCTATTCCAAGAGTTCTGTCTTCTTAAGATGCAAAGTGGGGTGGGTCCTTACAGTTCCCCATGTTGTGGTGACCCCCAACCACTTATACATCACCGGGTGCCAAGGGTGTGGCCAAAGAAAAGGGGGGAAAAATGGCAGACAGCCTTGTTTGGTGACCCCTGTGAAATGGTCGTTCGACCCCAAATGGGGTCCCGACCAACAGGTTGAGAACGACTGCTTTAGAACTTCAACTTAAAAGTATAACGTTCTCTTTCTTCAGTATAGTATTCCACATTTTATAATTTTCTCATATATTGCTATGCCACTGTCAGCCAGACGAGGTCGCTGAAGTTTAATAATCCAGGAACTAATTCATCATTTCACCCTCTTTCTCTAATCTGTTAAATTAGAAAACCTGCAGCTATAAAGATATTTGCAAAAAAGCGACTTAAAACAGATATAGTTAAGACGGCATATGCTGCAGATCTGACCCATCAAGTGTAGCTTAACCAGTATAGGTCTTGTTTACCCTGTGTCAGCTTCCTTGAGAAGACTTAGTATTAGCTGAGCTGTAAAAAAAAAGAAAAGAAACAATTCCAAAATGTTCATAGGAAGAAATCCCAGGACAAATATGGTATATAAGAACCAAGACTGATTTATTCGTAGTTTTGCTGACTGATAAGTTTACAAGTGTTGAAAATGCAAGAATGGCTTGGTATATGTTTCACTTAGTGTAAGAAAAGTTTTATCTGATGTTGTTTTTAAGAGTTTTTAGTCTTCTGGATAACTTGATGTAGTTGGTCCTTTGTGTCCATTAGCCAATCAACATGGCATAAAACTGATCCCTGTATGATTTTGGCTCCTTTTTTTTCTGAGCCAAAGAATATTTCATACTTCTGTACATCGGTATTAATAGCTTGTTTTTCCAATAGGAATTCATCTAACTTCGACACCAATTCATTTTGTATCTAACTGACAATTGTACCCAGCAAGTGAAAGTAACATTTATAAACTGAGGTGTCTTTTAAAAACATTTTCTTCTTTTGTTGTGCAAAGTTGATACAACCGATCTGTAGAAACCTCAATCTGTCTTTAAGTCCAGCTAAATGTCTTTGGGATTTCCCCCCCCCCTCAATTTTGCAGTTTAGCTCACATCTTTCAGCTATTAACAAGGTGTAATCCATGTTTTGTTTTGAAGAATGTAATCCAATCATTCAGAATGAATTGCTGTGAAGTTATTAAGCTTTGTGCATATACCGCACTTCAGTACCCAAAAACAGTATCCGCTATTTCATTAAATTCCTTTTTCCCATATTTCGAAGACATTGGTCAGACACAGAACATTATCAGTCGGATCACAGCTCTGGAAGTTGGAAAAGTCTCTTTTGAGATAAGGCTCCAAACAAACTTTGCTGCTGTTGATAATGTTGCGTGCACACATCACAATTCTTTCCAGAAAACTAGATGGGCTTAGAGTGAAACGGCTTTCTTTGCACAAGTTTAGGGGTGCTAATCCTTTGCCTCCATGCACTATCTTGTCTCTCTTTTTAGCGGGCTTTTTCTGGTGCTTATTTGCTCAGAGATGGCCCAGCTCCGGCACAAAAGAACTTGTCTGGCCAGGGTTGAACTTAGAAATTAATCTTGATCCATGTCTGCTGAGGTTAGATGCTCTTTGCACTCTTTGAAGGGATAAAACACCCCTCTTTGAAGGGTTGCTTCATCTCTGTAACCAGAAAATAAAATAAATCAAGAGATTAAAAGCCAGAGGACGCCAAGCCTAGCATCCCTCTAAAAATTGCTACTCCATTTTTGCAATTCTAAAGATGCAGGGCTTCATTTGCGCATGTGCAAGGCCCAAGCTCGAGCGCTAGCTAATGGCTTAGCGGCGGGGGAACCTTTCTTCTGCGCAGGCGCAACAGGCGGAGAAGCAAGGCCGTTTTCTGAAATTATGGCGGGCGCTGCCGCTTGCTTGGCCGAGACGCGGGTGGGGCAAGTGGTAATGCCGGGGGAAGCGTTGCTCTTGCCCGGCCAGGGCGAGGCGGACGGCGAACGGCTGCGCCTGACTACGACCGGACCGCAGAAGGGACGGCTGGTTTGCGGGCCGGGCCTGAGACGTGGCGCCGACGGCCTATTAGTCACCCAATGCGGCCTGCTGCGTTACCGGGGCCATTCCGCTCAGGCCGGAAGTGGGAGCGGAAGTAGTTCCGGGGGAACCTATTGGGTGGACTCACAACAGAAGCGGGTAAGAGGGCTGCGCCTGCGCAGTTCGGAGACTGGCTCTGCTCGCAGCCCCAGTACCTGCAAATAGGTGCATGGCTATAAAAACGGAAGAATCTATATTAAAATATTGTACACTGTAATTTTATGTTAAATTAACACATTATATTAACTTTTCATTGTAGATAATGCAATTATATATATATAACTTATTTAATATGATTGTGTTATATATTAAATTAATTATATATTATATTTTAATTACGTTAAATTCATTATATTAAATTATAATTATATATGCAACATAACTTATTTAAGTGATTGTATTATATATTGCATTATTGTATTGTATGTTAATTCATTATATTAAATTATAATTATAAATATACATTATAATCACATTAAATAAGTTATATATTGCCTTATAGATAAGATAACTTTTATTGTCATTTTTTACTGTGGGCACAACGGCATACATTAAAAATGAAATTTAATTGCCCGTTCTCAAAGTGAAACATACATAACACACACCTAAACGTACTATGTTTTATATAAATTATTTTGTATAATATATATAACCTATTTAATATAATTGTATTATATATCATATGTTTGTAGTGCACGTTTAATTGTATTAAATTATAATTGTATAATACAGTCATATTAAATAGGCTATGATTACATGAAATATAATTTATATAAAATATATTGATATAAATTTATATAATGCAGTGTAATTTTTTATAAATATATTGATATGCATAGTAGTATACATCGTATGGCACGTTCACATCACATTTACATTAAGTATAGTACATGTTACGTAATAAATATAAATATTTGGGGAAGGAATGCGGTATTTATGTAGCAATAGCCGTAGCACTTAGACTTGTATACCGCTTCACAGCGCTTTCCAGCCCTCTCTAAGCAGTTTGCAGAGTCAGCCTGTTGCCCCCAAGAATCTGGGTCCTCATTTTACTGACCTCGGAAGGATGGAAGGCTGAGTCAACCTTGAGCTGGTCAGGATCAAACTCCTGGCATTGAGCAGTAAATTAGCTTACAATATTGCATTCGAACCACCACGGCTCTTCTTTGCAAAAAAAAAAAAAAGCACTATATTTATGATGGATTGCAGGGGAGGGGAGGGCTGCATAATACCATGGCTTTGTTTTCTCACCCAAATAAAAAAAATCCATTTTTTTTATCCTTACTCTTGACAGTATGTCCCAGTGAAAGGAGATCACGTGATAGGCATAGTGACGGCCAAAGCTGGGGACATATTCAAACTGGATGTTGGAGGCAGTGAGCATGCCTCTCTCTCTTACCTGGCGTTTGAAGGGGCCACCAAAAGGAACAGGCCCAACGTGCAGGTGAGGAAACCCATTCAAGCACCACCAGTGGGGAGATCATCCCGTTGTACTTCTGAGCAGACCCGGGTGGGATTTGAGCCATGACTTTAGTGCTTGGTGTTGAAAGTCAACATGTTTGATCTAGCTTCTTGGTTTGAGCCAGTGGTTTGGTCTGAAAAATGGTTTCTTTCTGGCCAATGACAAAGCCACAAAGGGGGCCTCATTTTGGCAGTTTAAGCTTTGATCTGGACATGAAATAAATAAATAAAAAAAGAACGTGTTCGGTCAATACTTCTAAACTGGATCAAAACAGATGCGGCTGGGGTCATTTCACTGCGCTAAGAAGCTACAATGGGGTCAACTCTTAATATCCTCATATTACGGGTCACTAGGATGTCTTAAATTTCAAAGACATTACCTTAAGAGCAGGCAAACCTTTGGGGAACAAGGGCATGTGAGATAGCAAGCAAGTTGCCAGATATATCTTCTGGGTGTGTATGAGAATGTGAACTGGAAACACATCTCATTGGTCGACTGAAAGCTAAATATTAAGTATAATCATAGTCATTGTATTGCCGATAAAAGCATTCACTTCTCTCCCTGGTTATTTTCCCTTTGACTTCTTCGGGGTATTGTTTGTTAGATTTAGGATATCAAGTTAGGATAGGACAACGTTTCACTTGTCAGTTGACCGATGTGTCAATTCTAACAACAGATGAACTTGGTTTTCCAGTTTAATGAGAACACCATTGCCGTACTGGGCAAAAGATTTTTCTGATAACATTCTTGAGTTGCACGTCAACTGCAGATGCCGTGAATGCTCTTTTGCACAGTTGTGATGCTTCTGTTCTCACACAGAAGATCACTCCCCTCAAAGTGTTTATGGAGAATCTCAGTCGTCCAGATCATGGTTGTCCCAAAGGTGCTTTTTCAAGAGCAACTGGACTTCCTTTGTTTTTCCTTGAAGACTTGGCGCTTCTGATCCAAGAACCGAAGATGCTTCTTCGCCGAGAAGCAAAACGTCTTCAAGAGCTGTAACCATATTAAACGCTACTGTACAGTGCAACAATGAAGTGCAATATTAGGGGCAGCGCAATGGTGAATCGAATGCGAAGGACGTGTGTATATAATGTACTTTTTTACTTGTGTGTAGTGCGCACTTGTGGACAGCACTTAATTTCATTTTGAGATACAGAAGGAGAATAAAGATATCCTATAAGAGAAAACGTCCAGTTACCTTTTGAAAAAGCACCTTTGCTACGCTCTCCTCGGATTGAGTTCTACCAAACCAACCCTGATGATCCTTGAGCGACTGCTCTTTTGTTACTCTGAGATAGTAGTTAAGTTGCTGATCTGGAACCAGGGACCACCCTGTGGGTACTTTGCTCATTCTTTCGGTTCTTACTCCCGTCGTCCTGCACAGAGTGGTGAGGACACAACTGACGTGGGAGTGTAGGATAGGCAACTTTGCACATCTAGTGAAAAAGCTGAAACGTAAATCTCTACTGCCAACGGTGTAGGCCAAGAGTGTTGATTTTTCTTTCCTTCTTTAGGTGGGTGACGTTATTTATGGCCAGTTTATCGTGGCCAATAAAGATATGGAACCTGAGATGGTCTGCATAGACAGCAGCGGCCGGGCGAATGGCATGGGAATCATAGGGCAGGACGGCTTCTTATTCAAGGTCTCGCTAGGCCTAATAAGAAAGTAGGTGTGAAGGAATTCTTACTCAGATTTCTTTGCTTCTCAAACTGCATCATTTAACTGAACAGTAAATTTGAAGTCATCATTTTTTTTTGTTTTTACTTCTGGTTTCTTTCCCCTTTTGTCAGAATGTTTACAGATTTCATTCCCCATCAGTACTAGCTCTTTTCAATGCAGATAGATACCTTGTCAGGATTTTCAAGAGTTTTGCTATTCTGAACTGACACAGACACACACGTACACACACCAAGGGAAAACTCGTACACCAAAAGCTATAGAGAAGTCGTTTTATATCTCTGCATGGCACAACAGTCTTCAGGAGTTAGGCCTCTTTGCAACAGTTCTGCTTTCCCAGAAAAAGAGAAATTAAAAAGCAGTCTGACTCTTAGCAAGGATTTGCCTAGATGTCCAAGGAAAATAATCAACTATTAAGAATTGAGATCAGATTGATGTCGTGAATTGATTTCTGTTGGTTTTTTTTTCCCCTTCCTTTCTCCCCGTTGTTTTAATTTCAGACTCCTGGCTCCCGATTGTGAAATCATCTGGGATTTGGGACAACTTTATCCTTTTGAGCTAGTGCTAGGAATGAATGGAAGAATCTGGGTAAAAGCCAAAACAGTTCAACAGACTTTAATAATAGCCAACGTTTTGGAAGCTTGTGAACATATGACAGCCGAACAGAGGAAATGTGTAGTTGCAAAACTCTTAGAAAACTGATCGGGGGGGGGGGGAGAGGATGTATGATGATCCATGATAAATTTCCAGGGAGAAAGAAAAAAAATATATTACATATTTAAATATTTTATAGCTATATGGGAAATACAAACTAAAGCTGTTACTCTGTATATTTTTTGTTTGTTTTTTTCTTATACTTCATCCGGCAAATTTTTCAAATGGGAAGTTGTGTAGTTAGTAGTGGACTTTTTGTAAAGATTCCCAAACTTCCTGGTAAATCTTGGTTTTGCAATGCTGTTGAAGGGGGGGGGGGAATTGGTTTTCATTTCATTTTATTTGCAAATATGTACAGACATTTTCGAGAGGATTTTTTTTTTAATTCCCTGAAATGTATGTATGGGCATAGGACTGAGGTTTTTTTTATTTTTATTCTGTAAAGTAGATGCTATAAAAATGAAATATAAATAAAGATGACCAGAGAAATTTACTGCTGTTGAAAAAAAAACCCAGAAAATTAAGTTTCTCTCAAAGATTTAACCTTTTGGATACAGCTTTTTTTAAAAAAATTGCAAAATTAACATTTGGTATTGAATTTGACTCCTCTGTTACACATTTATTTAGCTTTCTCTTAAAAGCACAAAAATACTATAAGAAAGCATTGCAGTGAAAACCTGATCCACTATTTAGGCCAGGAGCCAAAACGAAGATCCCATTTTAACTCAAATGGATAAATGATAATAACAGCAACTCTAAGAGGAAAAAATTAAATTTGATTTATTACGGCGCGATTACTGTAGTATTGATTTGTTGCTATTTTGTATCACTGTGATAATTGATTTCTTTCTGTTTTGTTTGTCCAGTGTTGACGCCTCGCTATTTTGCACTGATTCTGAAAGTATTTGTAGAATTGTTTTCTTTGCTTTTTTTGTTTTTTTTTTTAATTAAATGCACAGGGTATCTTAGAAGAAGGGCTGGCCTTGAAATGTTCATCAGACAGTAGCTTATAAAATGTGGTATTCAAGGAGCATTTAAATTTGGCGTTTTTATGCTTTCTATATGCAGGAGGGCTTTGATGGCAGATGTACCCATGCAGCCCCAAAGCACTTTAGAACAGCCATGCTCTTTTTCCCAAGATCACTTTTATAATCCATTGTGTGCTCACTGACATTGATCCTCAGTTTGGTTCAAGGCAGCCGAATCTCTCGTTTTTCTAAAAGTGGAATCAGCCATTGAGAAGTTCTGAGTTATCCGTGGCCTCTTCCATAGTGTTGTGTCCCAGCCTATGTGAGTCCTTGTTAAGCGCACAAGGAGAAACCCCTCTTCCAACAAGCAGGCTGGAACTGCAGGAAAAAAAACAATCCCCTTTTATTATTCACAGACCTGAGTCAATGTCCAAGGCAAATAAACACAGTTCACAGAAACTCAATCCTCAACACAAACGGTTGCCTTCGGCAGCCAGCACCTCCCACACCTTCCCTTTTATGATACAGCCTGGGTGTGGCTTCCTAATGCCTTCTCCTTTGCCTTTGGAGCTGCCCCATTGCATTCCTCTGTCCTACTCTCTTTTCGTGCATCCTGGATTTGTCCCAGCTGTTCTTCATCACTGTCCCAACTCAAGCTCCCAGCACAGCTGTGTCTCAGCCTGAGCGCGAGTAGAGGGGCCAGGCTCCTTGTCTGACTGTAAGTCTTAGAGCTCCTCAGAGCCTTCCTCTGACTCTGATGTCACTCCAGGACCCTCTTCCTCCTCAGACTCAGACTCAGTTGCCGGGTGCACTGGCTGGCGAGGAATCACAACACGTAAGTTTCAATCCACGCCAATGCTCTTGCAAAGCGCACGGGGGTCTTTTTGAAATCTGCAAAAACTTGTTTCACTGACCACTGAGCACAGAGCTTTTAAAAGCAAGTATATAAGAAAATGGACATTCCTAAGTTAAGCATGGAGAGGATGGAGTGGGACCTACTCGTTCTTATTTGATGGGCAACTTCCGTTGGGTTTTTTTTTGCCTGCAGAAGATGGATCTATTCCTCCTCCTGAAGCTGCTGTTTGCTCTCTTCATCTTTCCCCTTTTGACTTGTTCAGCCAGATGAGTCAGCTGCTTAAGTGGGTCATCAGGCCTTGAGTAAACCAAAGGTTGATCTTATTGAGCTTCCATTGGGTTTTTTTTTTAATGAAGTTTTCTTGCTGGCATCTACAGATGTCATGCAATCAGTGATATATAAATATGTGTGTATGTATGTGTATGTATGTATGTATGTAGGCAGCAGTCGCTACTGCGACAAATCATTTCTATATTAAATTTGGATTGCCAACAAAGTTAAAAGGAGGCTAATATAGCTATTTTGAGCTATTTAGCTCTCATCATATATATGTATACGTACACACACACACACACTGAGGGGAAAAAGCATTTGATCCCCTGCTGATTTTGTATGTATGTTTGCCCTCTGACAAAGAAATGATCCGTTCATAATGTTACTGGTAGGTTTATTTTAACAGTGAGAGACAGAATAACAACAATCCCCTCCCCTGAAAAATGCATTTCAAAAAAGTTATAAATTGACTTGCATTTTAATGAGTGAAATAAATATTTGACCCCTTTGCAAAACATGACTTAGTATTTGGTGGCAAAATGCTTGTTGGCAATCACAGAGGTCAGATGTTTCTTGTGGTTGGCCACCAGATTTGCACACATCTCAGGAGGGATTTTGTCCCACTCCTCTTTGCAGATCCTCTCCAAGTCATTGAGGTTTCAAGCTGACATTTGTCTGAGATGGGATAGGTTCCCCTGCTTGAGCAGGGGGCTGGACTAGAAGACCTCCAAGGTTCCTTCCAGCTCTATTCTATTTTATTCTTAGCAAAAGCCAATTGGCGATAGAATAGAACAGGGGTCTTCAAACTTGGCCCTTGGATGACTTGTGGATTTCAACTCCCAGAATTCCTCAGCCAGGCACGCGTGCCTGGCTGAGGAATTCTGGAAGTTGAAGTCCACAAGTCATCCAAGGGCCAGGTTTGAAGACCCCTGAAATAGAATAATAACTTCATTGTCACTTTGAATGTACCCTGATAGGCAGACATTAAAATGAAATCGCGTTGCAACACAGCTCTCAAAAGGTCATCCCCTCCAATATACTCTACCCAAACATGACCAAAATAAATAAAATACAGAATTACGCATAGACCTACATGAAGTCCACAAGTCATCCAAGGGCCACGTTTGAAGACCCTGGGAATAGGATAATAACTTTATTGTCACTTTGAATGTGCCCTGATAGGCAGACATTAAAATGAAATCGCGTTGCAACACAGCTCTCAAAAGGTCATCCCCTCCAATATACTCTACCCAAACATGACCAAAATAAATAAAATACAGAATTACGCATAGACCTACATGAAGTCCACAAGTCATCCAAGGGCCAAGTTTGAAGACCCCTGGAATAGAATAATAACTTTAGTGTCACTTTGAACGTACCCTGATAGGCATACATTAAAATGAAATCGCGTTGCAACACAGCTCTCAAAAGGCCATCACCTCCAATATACTCGACCCAAACATGACCAAATAAATAAAATACAGAATTACGCATAGACCTACATACATTCGAAGACCCAGAGAACAACACAGTCTAATCCGGATGATGCCTGGCTAGAAAAAAAAAAACGAACCTTGCGAATTAACCAGACGGATTGCTTTAGCCAAGCCCGACTCCACCCCCCCCCTTTCACACACACACACAACACACACACACCCCTCTCCCCCAAAGGACAACAGAAGCACCAGCTGCGCAAAGGACGCTTTCACACCAAGGGATCAAAGGGCTGTTTTTGCGCAGCGCGCGCGAAGACCCGGCTTGCTTTTAACCCAGATCGCTCCGGATTGAATCGGCGCCTCCCTGCTTGATTAGTCGGCCTGAGCGGAGACTCTTCCTGGCTCCCCCCGCCCTTCATGCCCTGGGGGCTTATGGGCTGTGGGCCGGCTGCCAGCGCTGCCGGTGTAGGCTGCAGGTGAGGGCAGGTGAGGCTGGCGGCTTGTGGCGCAGCAAGCTGCCGATGGAGAGCCGGCGCGAGCATCCTCTGCAGCTCTTCTAAAAGTGTGAGTTCGCGCTCCCTGCGCCAGCCAAGCTAGTGTGTGTGTGTGTGTGTGTGTCTGCAGCTCTTCTAAAAGTGTGAGTTCGCGCTCCCTGCGCCAGCCAAGCTAGTGTGTGTGTGTGTGTGTGTGTCTGCAGCTCTTCTGAAAGTGTGAGTTCGCGTTCCCTGCGCCAGCCAAGCCAGTGTGTGTGTGTGTGTGTGTGTGTCTGCAGCTCTTCTGAAAGCGTGAGTTCGCGCTCCCTGCGCCAGCCAAGCCAGTGTGCGTGTGTGTGTGTGTCTGCAGCTCTTCTGAAAGTGTGAGTTCGCGTCCCTGCGCCAGCCAAGTCAGGTGTGTGTGTGTGTGTGTGTGTGTCTTTGTCAGCCATGCCTTGCAGAAAAGCACTTGGGAAGCGGTGACGCGCGTCCTCTGCAAAGGCGCAGGCCGGGGGTGGGAGTGGGGGGCTTCGGGGCTTCCTTCCCTGTCGGAGTTTCTGGGTCCCCACCGAGCACGCAGCATCATCTGCACCCAGAGCTGGAGAGAGAGAGAGAAGGAGAGAGAAAAGAAAGAGAGGGAGAGAAAGAAATAGAGAAAGGGAGAGAGGAAGGGGGGGAAGAGAGAAGGAGAAAAAGAGAGGAGAGAGGAAGAAATAGAGACGAAGAGAGAAAAGAGGAAGAGAGAGAGGAGAAAGACAAAAAGAGAGGAGTGTATACGTATCTGTGTGTGTGTGTGTGTGTGTGTGTGTGTATAGATAGACAAAGAGCCAAACGACAGACAGAAAGATATAGATAGATAGATAGATAGATAGATAGATAGATAGATAGATAGATAGATAGATAGATAGATACGCCTGGACTACGCTCGGGGCTGCAAATAGTCGGACGGCCGCTAGAGGGCGGCAGAAAGAGGCGATCCTTGGGGTTGGCTGCCGCCCTCTAGTGGCCATCTGGAGTTTTGCAGCCAGATGGGGGCAAAAAAACCTGAGCCCCGGGGCTCAGGAGCCAGAAGCAGCAGCAACCTTGATGCGAAGTGGAGAAAAACCAGGTAGAAATTAAAACTATTTCCCCACTTCTTGCTTTGAAAAAAAAAAAAAACAGCATTGACCCGTTTGCAAAATCTTCAAGAGTCCAACCAGAAGACTTGATTTTTTTTTCCTCCCCCCTCCCTCGACTTTGTATTTGGGGAGGCTTAGATTCGAGCTCGCTTTTCCGACCCTTCCCCCCCCCCCGTTCCCCTCCCCCCTTCTGCTGCTAGGGGAAAATGTGGCTGGCCTTGGATAGAAACCAATCTAGATATAAGCCAACTTTCTGTCGAATTCGGGAAGCAAAGGCCGTCACAGCCCAGGATATATATATATTTTTCCATTGAATTGCATGCACGATCTTTTTTTTATTCCTGCAGAAATAGAACCACGCGATTCCAAAGGCGTGCGAGCCCTTCCTTGGAACAAAGAAAAATAGAATTGCTTTTTTTTTTTTTTTTTTTGCATTGGGAATTTTGTTTTGTTTTGGTTCCCCCCCCCCATAAAATGACACTTTCCCCCCCCCTCCCCTTCTCTTGCGCTCTTGTTTAAAAATGCAATGCAGCAGAGCAAACAACGGCTGGTGCAAAAGGTTACAATTGTGCAATTAGGAAAAAAGTTACGAGTCCTTTATCACTTAGAGAAGGAATGCTGAAAGAGAGAGAGGTGGGACGAGCTAGCTGTTTTCAGGTTTCCTTTTTTAAAAATAAATAAATAAAAATAAAAATAAACTTTCCCTGCGGGTTTTAAAGATGCAAAGATGCTTAGGTGTGCGCTTCTAAGAAAAAATAAAATCTGTTTATCCATTTCATTCCCCAAAAGACAGGAAAACGGGACAGCCACGAACTTCCTTTTCATTGGGAGACGGCTAGATCAGAAATAAAAATTTTGAAAAGAGGTTTCTGCAATCTCTGAAAGGGTGATTCTGCTTCAACTACGTTGAGAAATTGGACCCGACAATAATCCCTATGGAGCTGCTCCAGCTATCCCGGTCCTGGTGGTCCCAAAGGTGTTTTTTCAAGAGGCAACTGGACTTTCTTGTTCTTGAAGAAGCTTCTTGGATGAGACGCGAAACATCTTCAAAGAAAAACAACATTCTTGAAAAAAGCACCTTTGGGACTCCATCAGAATAACAGTCCTGGTTTCTTAACAGCCATTTTTAAACCAAGATTTGGGGAATCGGCAAAGTTAGAGTTATTAGTTATAAGTTGCCAACACAAGGTTTTGTGTTCAAATAAACCCAGATGGCCAAGAAGAAGAAAAAAAAACAGACCAAAAAAAAAAACCCACCCTCCCTCAAAATGTTTTAAAACTAAATTATTTTTATCTATTGAATTCAGAGTTGCCAGTGGAGATTGCTAACCCCTTCCTTCCAGATTTTTACAAGCTGTAGAAATAACTTTCAGGTTTGCATGCAGGGCTCCTGGTTGCATGTGTGAACAAGTCTCCGTGCAACTCAAAAGTCATGCATGTAACAAGCATAGAATCAAGATCACGTTGAGTATTAGTACCGCTTTATAAAACCCTAGCGAGGCCACACCTGGAATACTGCAACCAATTTTGGTCCCCATACTGCAAAAAAGATGTTGAGACTTTGGAAAAAGTTCAGAGAAGAGCAACTAAGATGATCCGAGGCCTGGAGACTAAAACATATGAAGAACAGCTCCTCTGTCGGGAAGAGATGTTTATAACCAAGAAAGGGTTATTTGTTGTTGTTGTTGTTAATTGCGAAGTCGTGTCCGACCCATCACGACCCCATGGACAACGTTCCTCCAGGCCTTCTTCCTGTCCTCTACCATCTTCTGGAGTCCATTTAAGTTCACGCCTACTGCTTCTGTGACTCCATCCAGCCACCTCCTTCTCTGTCGTCCCCTTCTTCTTTTGCCCTCCATCTTTCCCAGCATTAGGCTCTTCTCCAGTGAGTCCTTCCTTCTTATTAGGTGGCCAAAGTATTTGAGTTTCAACTTCAGGATCTGGCCTTCATGGACCCCATGGACAGTAAAAGGCTTATTTATTAGGCTTATTTGCTGCCCCTCTCTCTACAAGATTGTTGTAGCCCGTTTGGCTTCTTTGGTGAGGCTACCTGGGTCAGATCCTGCTACTCTTCTGAGTAAAGGTTAATGGACAATAGTCCTCAGAGTCGTTTTGCAAGTCTAATAAGCTTGCATGGTTGTTAGTTAAATGATGCAACCTTCACCACAAGCTTCTTTAGATTTCATTTCAGAGAGAGAGAGAGAGAGAGAAGGAGAGAGAGAGAAGAGAAATAGAGAAAGACAGAGAGGAAGAGAGAAAAGAAAGAGGAAGAGAAAGAGGGAGAGGAAGAGAAGGAGAGAGAAAAAAGGTGAGAGAAAACAGAAAAAGAAGAGAGGAAAAGAAAAATAGAGAAAGAGGAAGAGAAGGAGAGAGAAAAAAGAGAGGAGAGCGAGAGGAAGGTTAGACAGATGAATGAACATAAATGGGTGGATGGTTTTCTCTCGTGCCTTCTTAGATGGGAAAAGATTAGGTATGGAATTTTATTTATAAGACAAAGAGTACCGAGAAGGACATTTAGAATTATTATCCTTGTGAACTAATCCAGTCCAGAGGCCAGGCATAGAAAATTGGGTTATTTCCAACCCTCCCTTACACAACCCACTCGCTGTTTTTACGGCGGATTTAATATTGCCTCCAGTGTGAAAGGGGAATAAATACCGTGGGACTTTTCCTGCCGCTGGGAAAACATTCTTCTCTTTACAGCCCAGCTCTATAAATAAGAAGTTCTGGTTTATGTGGTTGTTGATTCACAACCTTTTGGAGGACACACACAAGTCTGCTGTTGGACTTTCAAGAGTCTTGCTTCACTTTAACCAAGCTTGCAAGTATTCGGTACTCTTCGTCTTGTAAATTACAGGTGAATGAAATAGTTCAGCCTCTCTGTTTAATGTATCAACCTTAAATGGGTTATTTTTCTGGTACTGGAAAAAAGCCGTGTACCATATTTCCCCAAAAATAAGACCAGGTCTTATATTAGTTTTTGCTCCAAAGGATACATCGGGATTTATTTTCCGGTTAATTTTGGAGAAATACGGTACTAAATGCATCTGTCTGGCTGACGGGGGCTTATTTTGGGGGTAGGACTTATGACCATCCTGAAAAAATGATGCTGGTGCTTATTTTCCAATTAGGTTTTACTTTGGGGGAAATATGGTAGGCCGGCATTTCTGTAAAGTTGTTTTGATCAAAGTTAAATCTCTTTGAGCTTGAAGTTAATAGAATAGAATAGAATAATATGGAATGGAATGGAATAGAATAGAATAGAATAGAATAGAATAGAATAGAATAGAATAGAATAGAATAGAATAGAATAGAATAATATGGAATGGAATGGAATAATATGGAATAGAATAGAATAGAATAGAATAATATGGAATGGAATGGAATAGAATAGAAATAGAATAGAATAGAATAATATGGAATAGAATAGAATAAAATAAAATAGAATAATATGGAATGGAATGGAATAGAATAGAATAGAATAATATGGAATGGAATGGAATAGAATAGAATAGAATAATGATAAGAATAAGAATAGAATAGAACAGAACAGAATAGAATAGAGTGATGATAAGAATAGAATAGAATAGAATAGAATAGAATAGAATAGAATAGAATAGAATAGAATAGAATAGAATGGGACCTTGGAGGTCTTCTAGTCCAGCCCCGCTCAAGCAGGAGAACATATACCATCTCAGAAGTGACTGTCCAGTCTCTTCCTAAAAATCTCCAGTGATGGAGTGCCCATGATTTCTGGAGGCAAGCTGTTCCACTGGTAAATTGTCCTCACTGTTAAGAACTTTCTCCTTAATTCCAGGTTTTTTCTCTCTCTGGTCAATTTCCAACCATTGTTTCTTATCTTGCATTCTGGTGCTTTGGAGAATAGCTTGACCCCCCTCTTCTTTGTGGCAGCCCCTCAAATACTGGAATGCTGCTATCATGTCTCCCCTGTTTCTTCTTTTCTTTAGACTAG